AATCATTATTGTGATCATTGTTTAAATAAAATATTGAAAACGAATGATCGCTCAGCGAGTCTGCTGCATGTGTTGCCATGTATTTGAGTCGTTGATACCCTCAGGTTTTCCTGATAATTCTCGCAGTATTGATTTAATAAAAAGTCCATCTGGGAGGCGGAGGAAGATATCTGAAAGAAGCGCTGGAAATGGATTTGGCACACTTTGAGGAAATCACCCAACTGCGCCACAAGACAAGCCCTCACATGTAATCCTGAAGGCCATAGGAGAAGAGGAAGACCAATGAATTCATTACGCCGAGAAATGGAGACAGACATGAGAAGAATGAACAAAAAGTGGATAGGACTAGAAAGGAAGGTCCAGGACAGAGTTTTTACAGAACGTTCGACGGTGAAAAAGGCATTATTTGACCATTATTTCTTTAAAATGTGTCGCTGAGTAGGTTTAGAATGTTTCTGGGAGCAGTGTCACGACAGAAGTTGATTGGCCTAGGATGCATCTAGTCGATTATTATTATCCTTATATTCCATTTGTACGCCGGTCGAAATGAAAATGAAAATCCTGCCTTTTTCGTTTTTCTTGATAATTTATTGATGGAGAAAGAAAAATAGACTGAAGCATCCAGTCTATACGTTCTACTACTTCTACAGAGCAACCCAACGCTGCGAAAGCTACATGTAATTAACAGTTTAAATCGAAAATGCCTTGTTCGATGTTCATCAGTTCTTTTGTTTCTGAGAACGAACTTTGGTTACAGACAAAGTAATACGAATTGTTCAAGGAGGTCTCTGAGAAGATTGTTGTTCGTAACATTTATGAAATATTGAATATACGAAAACGTGCATGTCAACATATGAAAAATTATGTGCTCAACTCCTCCTAACATATCGTTAGCTTTTCATCAAGTGCCTTTACAGTACGAGACTTCACTGAAAAGTATTCAATCCGCATGAATTTCATGGAGTGTGACTGATGCTTCGTGTTCGAAATGCAATCAACGTGTGGGCATTTGATAACGTGCTCCATGTAATATAATGACAGTGTAAGAATACAAGCTTATACGAAAAACAGTTGGTATTATATGATGACTACTTGTATAGCGGTGACATTCTGCGCAATGTTCCATGCATGCCGTTCAGCAGCTAACGAGAATGGATGTTATGAGTTGTTTAAGGGACGTGGCTGCCAAAAGATGACAATTCTGACCTATTGTTGACATATTATTACGCGTGATGTGTGGTTCTGTTCCTGTGCCTGCTGACGTATATCGCGTGATTCTGATGCAGCCCTAATATTGCATGAAGCCTATGAGACACTTAGGTTCAGGTATCTTGCATACGGCAGAAGTATAAGAAATGCTGAACAAAAATCCAGTTGCATTAAAACTTAGGCTTAGATGCACCGATTTCCAACAGGTCAACCCAACTGTAGTGCCGCGATTCGTTAACCGTTTACTTCGATAACCGTTATAATTCTAAACTTAACGGTGCGTAAAATCAGAAGACAAAGGATAGCAGCAACTACAGTTTATTGTAGAATGACTCAGGTTCAAAAGCTAACAACACCTGAGCGAATATGAACGAGCGAGTGAACAGGCGAACAAGCGAAGGAAACGAACGAGGAGCAAGCGAGCAAATAGCAAGCAATTACATAGGCAATTTATAGTCAAATTTAATAAGGACACAGCAAAGCAAAACAAAGGCTGATAATAATATTTGTGTGCGTACATATATGGGGAGGAGTATGAGTCATCGAATGATATTTAAGCAGTCAACATTTCGGCTAGAGTGTCATGTGCTCTAGTGGTATAGCAGTGCAAGGAATATGCAAATTGTTACTATCCAAATGACGATGTCTGTTAAGTAAGTTATGAAAAAGGGCTTAACCAAAATTGGCTATAATCGAAATTGATTGTAGATGGTTGCTATACAACCTACTTTATGCTATCAATGAAACGGAATTCGTAAACACTGGTTAGTCCTAAAGGATTATGTATCAAAGCTCATAGCTTTCGTCAGTTAGGATTATGTTTAATATTACTATGACTTTTATGGTTGTTATTATTATTATTATTATTTGAATTGATAAGATAGGAAAAGGTACATTCATTTGGTATGAAAGTCGAACTGTTTGGCCATCATACCGTGTTTTATTCACTTGCCAAAATGTCAATTTTCACTCAATGCTTTTACGAAATCATGTGAATTGGGTGAATCATGTCATGCGATTAATATCTGTTGTGGAACATCTTAGTTTTACCAACACAGTTCATCCAACCAGAGTTCGTAATACTACGACAAATTTGAAGTGAATAGTGATAACCAATGACAATCCTAGGTTCAAGAACAAAGTTCAGCAACCTAAATATTATCATTCTGTATTCGCATTACATGATCATTTATACTAATGAGTATGAAGAACTATACGTCTTAGTTATCATATGGTTGATCAGTGTATCTAAACATGTGAGCATATGTAATTTCGTTCTAAAATGAGCTGAATTAACAGCATAGAGTAAGACTTTTGCTGCTGATCAGAGTACTTTAATACGTCAAAGAACATAGGGTATATGAGAATAAAAATGTTAAATACGTGCAGTAGGTAATGGAAAATTATTTTGAAACTCTGTTTTCCGTTTAACTCCGCCTGTAGCTCCTCTGGGGGTTACTGCCGGTCCCAAGCCCGGGTAAAGGAGGAGGGTTGGGCATGGGGTTAGCGACCCCATCCCGTAGAAAATCAACTCGCTAAAAAAACGCTAACCAGAAAAATTCATTCAAACCATTTAAACTCTGCCCTGAGAGTAGAAGGAATAATTATGACGTCTCATGATAAAAGCCGAGTTCATTCGGAAGTCATGATGCCGATGCACCTTCTTACAACCAGAGCAACAATTTTAATAGGTACATGGAATGTCCGACAATGTGGGAGACCGGAAGAGTCTTCCAAATTGCTACAGAATTGCTGTTTTCCGTTTATATATCTGTCCTAGAATATAATGTATAAGATGAGTCAGTCTGTTCACTGTCCAACTACTAAAAAGCGCATAGGTGTTCTATGGGTGGAATTCGTCAAACAATTTTCTTTTTCAGTTGATCGAATGGAATGGCCTCATGAAACGTTGTCTGGCCACATTTTATAAATACCTGTTTATCTGATATATTCAGTAACCCGTTATTTCTACTAACGATAACGCCGAGCTTGTGTCTAGTTTTTTGACTTCCAAGTAACAACGGTTTCACTACTGTCGGATTCGTCTACAAATGTATAAGTAGTTTCACTAAACTCATAACTTCTTGAAAATACTCCACTGATTGATACGAATAATACCAGTAACTCTTGATGTACACAATTCATTCCACTATAGCTTAGTGAGTTCAGACAAATTCTGTAAACTTTCACCATGGGATTGTCTGGTTTTCTACAATGGTCATTTACAGATGATCTTCTGAATATTAAGTTTTCTTGTGAAACATTTACTTGAAAAGCCACGTCACCTATTTCATTAGGTCACAAATTTCCCTATAAAAATAATACATCTAATTAAATAAACAACTTGATCGTACTCAATATCCGATTACGATGTTGATAAACAAAATATCTACTACAAATACTCAATCTGCAATTACTTACAATATTACGTTTGCCGGTTCTGTACTATTGTCTGATTTGTGCCTACCAAATGTTTTCACACTTCGTCCACCAGGATAAGGATATATTCATTGCTTTGACAATTGACATGAGAAAACAAGCACAAAACTTATCAAACAAGCCAATTTGAAGGAGTAGACTAATTCAAAGTCTCGATACATATAGCATCCCTGATGACAGTTGCGCAGTCGTGAATTCGTGTTCACCAGATAAGGGCAATTTTGAGACTGCTTAACGATAAAACTCGAAGGAAATTCATTGCAGAAGCATTTAAGGTAGCATCCACAAGTATCCTGATGCTCTAAAGAGGTAACATCGTACACCTACTAGACGTCATACCTAAAATATTTTCGAATACAAGCTACACAGGCATAGAGATCGTTGATAGTAAACTTCTTACACCACAGTATAAACCATGGGTGGTCAAGAGGGGAATATCAAATATTGCAGATTAAGGGGGAGTTATTACCAAAACAGCATCACATGGTGTTAAGGAAAGCATTATTAGACCATCATTCAAAGGATATGTGAACTTACAAAGACTGGTTTTTAAAGAAAATATTGCTTGTGAGAGTTAGCATGGCAGTAAGACTCAAACACGAATTAGTACAAGCTGCTTCAGACGGGTATTGGCAGGAACAGCTATGAATACTTGGGATTTAATTCTTTGTCAGTATTATTTCATTTGTGTATGCCAAGAAAACATTAAACTCTGCCCATTACTGCGGACTTGACAAGATCTGACTCCCTAGTGTCCCAGACCATATGTCAGAGTCACATCATTATCTATAACTAATCGCTCTATCTTGGGATAAAGCATGAGTTTCTGCGATAATAATGGATTAAAAAGGTGTATAGAGAGCCCATACATTCATAACCTAGCCATACCGTCTCGATTAAGCGTTATTGTCCTTTTAGAAGTGTTCAGTAGTTAATCCAAATCTCAGTTATCATATGTTTAATTTTTGGAATCGTGTGGCTAAAAACCAGTGTTATTGCAGTATCGATACAAATAATAAATAAAGCAAACTATGTGGTAGACTTGAAATCGAACCTGACCATACAGAACTACAGAGTAGAAAGCTCTATCAACTGTTTATGTACAAAATACTTACTCTAATTTTAAAGCTGTTCTCCTTTGTTTGAACTGTGAGAGCAACAGAACGATGATACTTACTTTAAAAGGCGTTTCCGAACGAAAATTCCTATGTTCTTAACGCATAACAAATTTCTGAGCTACCTAAATTAATATCAAATAGAGTCTAGAAACACATGGCATCTTAAGGTTATGACTAATAATGAATCGTCTACTGACTTGTCAACTTGGCAGAAGTATTGTTTTGTGTTTTAACATGTCGGTGAGTGCATACTCACCTTGCAGCAACTTCAAATTGATTAACATCTGCCGCGCCGTCAGGAACTTGTTGGTCGTAAGAATTTATTCCAATAAACCTGTTTTCTTACTTCATTATTCTCATTTTTAAACCGAATGGTCTAAAGTATTTCATTTATTCACTTGGAATTTCGGTTATTAGGTATTTCTTTACAAAATCTTTGACTCATTGGAATTTCAAACGATTACATATTTTATTAAGTATGTTCCTCCCATAAAATATATGCTTAATATCCGCCTTTTTTATTTCAATTATGACCTGAATCAAACGTGATTTATTCCATACTTCGTGTCTATCATTTTCTAACATGACTTGATGAGCAACGTTCATATAGAATAATTATTTTACCGGTAACAATCTTTAAATAATTTTCATTTTAAAAAATAGGTTGAACTGGCTCGAAATGAATCTTTCATCCCAAGAGTTTGACGGACAGTATACTGAAGATGTATCACTGATCCAGACTTGTTTTTCAGGTTATTAATTAAGCACCAGAAACTCATTTGAATTTTCTGTTAGCATCATATTCTCACAGCATCTTTTTATGAGCTAGTCGATAACTTCAAAGTCGGTTCACTTGTCAGTTTCAAGATTCGATGCCTCGCATAAAACAAGTCTGTGATTTGGCCTGGTTTTTGACTAATGAACACTTACTTTGTTCCCTGAAAAATGACGATTTTGTTAGCGTAGATAAGCTTACTCAATGTCTGATTTCACATCAGAAGATGCTTTTGTTGTCATAATACTGCCTAGAATAGAAAAAGTGAAGGGAATTTCATTATTAAGTAAACTGGATGCGTTTTTCGTATATTGAAGAACTGCCAGTACCTTATACGTATCTGAAGGGTCGGTGGTTGATTTCAGTGCAATTTACTAAAGTTGAAGCCCTTGTAGTAGCGGAAAAACTTCTATAACGCGCTTTGAATGAACGTATCGAAAAGTGATGCTAACTAAAAACAAATCGTAATTTACACAAAGTTGCGTAAGTCAGTCTCCGTTACATGACCACTATGATCATCACTATCACTCGGGAAAGAAAACCTTTTCCCTATCGGATCATTGATTTTCAACCATATATATTGTTCATGGGTTTATATAATTGCATCAGACCGTTTTGTTATGCAAATGGTTTCGTAACGAAACACTATTAACCGGAGCAATATTTCGAGGAAATATCAGTCCTTACATGTTTTAAAAAATTGGCTTGATTTTAATCATGTAAAAGGGTTGATCCTGTATTTATGACACAAAAATGCCATCCGAATAAGTCACAAACATTTTTCGTTCTAAAAGTGAAAATATATCTTCCTTGCATTCTCTGTGTTTACTAGATATAATTATAGAAAAAACAACTCTAGATTCTTATGATAAACTACAAGAACTACAGGCCAGCCAGCAACTTTATAACAAAGGTAATTTACAGAACCACCTAGAGTATGCTGCTCTATGTTGTGAACTAAACGTATTAAAAATATCAGCTGTTTGATCCCAGTTTATTAAATTTGAAAATTGATATACCTTTAAAAATAGAGGCTTCTTAGTTTGATTGCTGGGAGATTAAGTGGAGAACACTGCAGAGTATAATAAAATGGGTTTCTTTTGTACACTTAGTTTGGTTGATTGTTCAAGTGCTAGTAATATCTAGTGTCTACAATTTCCGACTTTAGGTTAGTCGAAATGCATTTTTAGTCAGCGCTTCGTTTTATTTAATATTTTATTTCGGTGTATCCTGTGAGTATTTACTCTATTGGTTTTAACTTTCACTGCAGGACACAGCTGTTTCCCCGAAAAAACAGTTTGTGATCTACAGGAAAAGAATTATCTCAAATACAACTCGTAGTACAACTATTCACGTTAGATGGGATATATTACTTTTTCTAACGCCCATATCTTGGTCTGTATACGTCGGATTCCTGTTGGCAATAGTCCTGAAGTGGACCAGAGGTATTTTTCACCCTCTGGATAAACGCTAGAATAATTGATTAAATTGTTCTTAGGCGGTTGTGATTATAAGGTTATTACCATATATCCACCGCATAAAGCTTTTGGGAGTATATGATTCAACGCATCAAATAACTATGGGCCGCAAGAGGCATACTGTTGGCAGCGTGTTCCGAAATAGGTCAGATAAGTCGTCTCGATCCTCAGGCACTTCTTCTTCCTCTTCTTCCTCTTCATCCAAATCTAGTATAAAGCCCGTGAGTTGTGTTTAATCTGCCATGTTTTTCTTCCAGAGTTTTTGTAAATAAAATATTTTCACAGCTGATTTCACTAGTCCATTTCAGCTAAACCACAACTGAGAACTTGGAAGTAGTGGACAGCTGTTCCGTCCTAGTATGTGACTCCTCAGCAGTGCGCATATATCTGCAAGATATATCTGGATATTTACATGTTTCTGGGTTGCAATTTACATTTTCATACTGCCAACCTATATCTTATCACTTTGTGGTATACAAATAAGTGGTAAAGTGACTAGGCTGCCTTCTAGTCAAACCTCGAAAATGCAACACAAATTACTATTGCATTGCCTTGTATTATGATAATCAACACTGGCATCTGGATTCAGCGTTTCATAATCACTAGCATCAACTCTGTTTATGTAACACATAGCCAAAGTACTATTTCATTGCAATATGATAGCTGTTCCCATTATCCTGAATTCAATGCATAAATGTCAAATCATAAAAACCATTGTAATATATCAGTCCTGTGGTTTAACTTAATTATGATTCTACTGGTAAAAACCAACAGAAATGCAATCACAAAGTGATCAACCAAATTGTTGAAGGACTCACTGACGGTAGTCTATGTTGTAAAACTGGACAACTATGTTGCTGTTGTAGGACGAGAAGTGTGGCACAAAAAACTCTGTTTGAAACTGTAAACATAACAGTAGAGTCACACAGAAAAAATCTAGTCCGGTTCTTCTTTTACAATTGTTATTATTTCTGTCGATTACTGCCTACATGTTTGCCACTTATTTAATTTCATGTGCTGAAATCAAATAAATAAAGTTAATACTGTAAAGATAGCTTTCATCACGAAATGACCTCAGTCAACATCAATTCAAGAGGAAAATCTCTTTTAGATGGTATTAGTATTCATATAGCTGTCTGTGAAGTGCTGGTAAGGTTTTAGTAGTCAAACAGTCTACATTAGTTGTGGTAAGCAGTAATGACTATACTCAGTAACTTATATGGCATCAATTTGAACTAAACTTCAGCAAATTTAGATTTTCAAATCAAGTTCGTGCTCATCCATTCCATTATTGATGAACAATAAATTTAGCTGATATTGTAATAGTATTCGTACGGTTTGGTACAAGACGAATGTGACTTTTTACGCTTTATTCACTGTTTATGCAAATATATTATCGGGCATATAAAGTATAAGGTGATAAAGTGTTGTCTAACATCTGATTAGCACCATACTAGAGGAATAATGTTTACTCGAATTCATCTTCTATGCAGGTATTTTCTTCAGATCTAATAATTATTATGAACATCATTATAGAGTGCTTTAGTGGTGTTAACTCAATTACATACAAATCAGTATGATTGTAATCTGAGATTTTGTGACATGAATCTGCTTCATGATTTCCATATATACACATCAACAAGTCGTAACACAATATGTTGATCAGGTTTACCAATTACCTGAGTACACATTAAGAAAATAGCTTATCTTTGGACTGTTTGCGTTGCATAAGTCTGGACGTATTAAGTTGAAACCCTGAATCAATCATTCTAACCCGACTATAAAGCTCAATTTCATGCATTTTATCCATATTTTTCTCTAAATATTAGCAAATCATATAATGACTAGGAAACAATTAATGATGATTTATTAGACTATATTAGTGGCATGTTAAGTGACTCGCGAAGAGTTTCTTAATTAATTTTTGTCACAAACTGACCTTGATCACCTTGATCATACATTTAACGATCAGTTCTAAAATGAATTCATATTTCTGTACTTCGATTTTCAAGCCAAAGGTTTTCTCTTAGCTTTTTACACGAAAATCATACAAAATATAAACTATTATGATAAAATCCATATACTTACATACATAGATACATAACTTTTGAACTTTTGGCTAACATTTGAAAAAAAATGATAACACCTATAGTCTAAGTAGAGTAATTTAGCTAAACTTCATTTTTACAACAAATATATCTTATTTGTTATGTGACTTAGATAGATATTATTATTATTATTATTACAATGAATAATATAATACTGATGGTATATAAAAATTATCATACATCATCCAACTTACCGTAAAACAAATTCCGTTTATCTTATCTAAAGATGCTGCAACTTACAATTGATCAGTCTACCTCATATGCATCATAGATATTTTCTACTTTAAACATTCATTACTTTTTCCAAAAGTATTTTCGTTTTGTGTATATAAACATATATAAAGGCGATAGACTAAGAACATCTATTCTAAATTAATGAAGTCAAAAGATCAATATAGCGGATTTTTTTGTCTGTTGATTATGTTATTCATTAAATTTACTTTACTATTCTTATTATGCCAATTTTATGATGAAAGCATTTTTTAGAGTTAATTTCTATTCAAATAAAGTCAGTCAGTCAGTCGGTGATAAATGACAAAGTATCAAGCACAATTGCATACTGAGAAAATTAGTCATATCTCATTTTAGTACAGTGATAAGAAATAAAAGAAATGAAAGGTATAGAAGCTGGAATAATATATCTAGTAATGGAAAACTGTGCTCTGGAAATATCGTTGAAAATGAATAAATTTGAGGTGTTACAAAAAGCATGAAATAATATCCAAGTTTTAGATTTAAAAGAAGATAGAAGGTTAATAGATCTTCATCAGTCAATAACTTTGAAACATGTCACTGACTTTCTCCAAACATAAATTATAATTATGTGGTGGACCTCAACTATGAAGCTTAGACCCCTGAATATGGCTTTTATCAGCGGTAAATAATTTCATGGATTGGAGAAATATCGCGGCATGGTTATACCTAGCTTTATTTTAAAATACCTTCATACTAAATAACATTTTAATTTTGAATTAGTAGGTTATGGAAATGATCGTAAAGCAATAAAAAAAACAGACTCCTACTCACCATCTATCAGTTATCCATAATCATTACAGAGTCTAGCATAAATGTGCTTTAGCAAATGTTGTTGTATCACATTGGAACGAAAAGGTGGAACTAACTAAGTTACTAATAAATGTGTCTAAATAATATAGTAGCAGTGATCGTAGGAAAGACTAAACATTAAGAATATCGTTTGTAAAGAAAAAGCAAAAGAGTATGCATAGTGAAATACATGAAGATAAAATCTAGAAGAAGATAATGAGATAAACAATTCATCTCCTTGGTAAGTTATAAATTATACAAAACATCAAATAATAGGAAATAAACACTTTTCATAATCTAGAAAAGCTTGAATCTTGATTTAATGATGATATGTTTATCTTCGTTTATACATTTTTAATGATTGTTTAACATCATTATGTTAAATAATTTCTAAATTGTAACTTTCTCATTTTCAATACTCTTCATTGTTAATTATTTGTATGCAATAAATAAAGTTGATTTAATTAATTACAACTTGATATTTTGTAAGAAGGGGGTACTATGGAGATTTTAGTAATTTAATGGTTGAATTCATGAGTCAATTAATGCTAGACCACCATGGAAAACCTGGAATCACTGGATGGTAGTTCATCCTAGTATGGCACACCTCAGCAGTGCTCATTCACAATCCTGCTCGCGAGATTCTAACCCAGAACCTATCGGTCTCGTGGACGAACGCTTAACCTCTAGACCGCTGAGCTGGCATATTTTGTTATAAATTGCAAAATAAATATTCAATGTTGAACTTTTAATTCATTTAACTTCACTTTTAATATATAATACTTAAATGAAATAATTTTAACAAAGTATAAATCCTACTGGTTTTTATTTTTGTCGAGTTAGATACCATGGATTGAACAAAATATTGTATGCTTGGAATGTGCTAAATTTGTATTTGCTCGTCATTCCAAATCCAAGTGAGTAATTAATAAATTAAATTTTTCACTAAGTGATTTCACTTCAATAACTGTTTGGGATTTATAACTTATTTATTTATTTAATCACATATATATCGGTACAAAGGGCACCGGATACATATGCGCCACACAAAATAATGAGAATGGGAGGAGAAGCAAGAAGATGTGTATGTATAAAAAAAGGAAAAAAAGAGAAGAGTAATGATGGGGCAACTGAAATGTACGACCAGAAGAGCTCTCTCAGTTAAGAAAGTTATAACCACTCTTTATAAAGAAAGTAAAAGAAGGTTACAGCAGGCTCACCACTGGCTTCTATTCTGAGCCATATCTGATAACGTCTCTAACCACTGTGTTGCACCATCTCTCGGACCCCAGTCGGGGAGTCGTGAAGGACCAACAGAAGCTAGCTTTTTGCAGCTTTCTTTCATTCCACGACACCATGTCATACACTGACCTCTTCTCCGCCTTTTACGACTAGTCCCGGAGTCGGCAAATAATGCACGACGTGGAATTCTCTGGGACAACATTCGTATTTATAACTACCTTATTTTGATTTTTTTGAAGGATCTTATTGTCTAGCCATGCTTAGTCAGTGAGCTTTAATCAGTTAATGAATAGTAACCAATGTCATTTTGTTCAATCTTTAACAACGGTAAAATTCTTTCGACCAAGTACACTCTCCGCGCTGTTAAGTATTAGCAGTTAGTCGAAAAAGTAACCCTTGAACCTAGGTTTTGTGTTATTCGAAACTCATTTTTACGGAAATTAATGGTTCTTATATTTTTCAAAACCTCATTACCCAAAATCATCATCAGAAACACTTCTTATCAGCTATTTATGGTCTCTGTTGGTTACTTCTAACCAGCTAATTTCAAACTCAGTCTGTTCTGTGGTCCTTTAAGAAGCCTTGGAAATAAATGACTATGAAGTCTACTCTGAAAAAAATGTGGTTAAATGGAACTCATATGTCGAAACTAAATACTGACTTTCTTTATATACCCGGAATTAAATAA